GGGGGCGGAGGGGCTCCAGCGTTTCCCCCTCTGGCCAACACCGGACTCGCTGTTTCTAAACGCTTCACATTTTAGAAACACAAATATTTATTTTCTTTCCTCAATGTATATGCTGAACTTCCAGACCTCCTCCTCCCCAGCCCTTGCTCCAGCGATGGAATGTTAAAGCCCATCTCTATTCCGGAAAACTTACCTGTAGCATATTTCTGTGGCCTCGCTAATGAGCACAGAAGTGACAACACAGAGAAGGTGCCTGTGTTCCTCTGAGGAGACCATAGACCTGCCATTCAGGGACAGAGCTGAAAGAACTGTTTCACGGTCCAGCTGCAGCCCACCAAGAGCGCGTTGTGCTCCAAGCTGTGGAGGGGGCGGCCAGGGGGCTGACTCCAGCTCACGTTCTCCTCGGACACCTCCAGCTAGACCACGCTCACCATTGCTGACCCCAGCCTGAACCTTGTCGTTTTTTAACAAAGAAATGGGACCAATGCATTAATGGTTCCTTTTTCTTATCACTTCTTCAATTGTTCACCCTGTGCAGACAGCATGCTGGTGCCAGGATTCAGTGGCCATGGAGATAGGCAAGTCCCCTGCTCTGAGGGGCTGGTGCTCAGCTGGGGAGGCAGGAAGCACATTTTAAACACTGCTTTGGGAAGTGACAAAGCTGTGATCACCACACCCTGCAGCATTTCTGGAGAAGAGAATTAGACTTAGAAGTCATAGACACAAAAGGAGACAGCAGTCTCAATGAGGTTTTGTAATAGAGGAAGGGGGATGAATTATGAACAAATCAGACATAAATGAAGAACAGCAGAGGGGAATCATTTTATCTAATTTGTTCTCCAAAAATTGTGCACAGAGGGGTGAGGTCAGAGTTTCAGGCTTGGTTCTGCCCTTAGGCTGGTTGCGTGACTTCAGGCAAGTCAATGAACCTCTCTGGGCCTCAGTTTCTTCATCTGACAAATCGGCAAATAGACTCAGATCTGCTGGCCTTACACATTTGTTGAGAGAACAAAGGAGACAGAGTGATGGTGGGAGGTTGTGTTGTGCCAGATGTGGAAGAGACTGCTATCATCACTGCTGCTAGATTGTGGGAGCTGCTGGCAGGCTCCGCTGTGCACTTCCCTTTATGGACCTTTCTTTATGTCGAGTGAAATGCACAGATTTAAGTGTCACTATTGTGTCCCCTGGAAAGATGATACCCCTTTGACTACACATCTATCCTCTCATCGCCTCCTCACATCATCCCAGGCCAGCCCAGAGCTACCTGTCCCACTGCATGATGACAAGCTGAGGTGCAGAGAGGCTAACTCCCATGTTCCAGGCCACACAGCCTGTCAGCAGCAGAGGTGGATTTGAACCCATGGTCTTTCTGCTTTGTCCCACCAACTACTAGGCAAGGATGCAACAATCCCTGTGGTTATTGTCCTTTATTTATAAGCCTCTTTCATACAGATCCTGGGGCCCAGGATGCAGGGATAAATCAATCCAACATTGAGCAGATCGGGTGAAACTGGGAGAGTGACCTAACCCAGAGAGGTAGACATGGACAAGTTCCCTCCACCTGGAATCCTACCCTGGTACAATGCTTAATTGTGTGCCCATAGACAAGTTACTTGACCTCTCTGTTCTTCAGTTTCTCATCTGGAAAATGGGAGTAATAATTGTACCTGCCTCACAGGGTTGTCACAAGAGAGAGAGACAGCTCATGTAACTCACCTGCTCCTCATGTCAACCTTTTGAGGTAGGCAATGCTATCAGTCCCTAGGTGAGGACTCTGAGACATACAGAGGTGAAGAAACTTGTACACAGTCACACAGGGATTACAGTAGAGCCAGGATTCAAACCCAGGCACTATGACACCTCACCCTGTGCTTGTAACCACTTTCTTTACATTCTTGCAGATAGATACCAAGAGTGGACATACATGGCCGCTCCCATTGTTAGCTTGAGTTTCTGCTAGGCAGAATTAGCTGGAGGAAGGGGCATTCTGGCAGCTTGCTGTGATGTACAATGGCCTGGGGCCCCTTGGAAACTCCTAGAATCCAGTACAGCTGGAGAGAGGGTGCACACAGACAGCCAGTGGATAAAAAGACAGGAGGGCAGCAATATGTTTACTGAGGAAATTGAGGTAGAGTTACAGGTGGGGGAAGAGTTTGAGTGTGGGCTGAGGGTTCAGGGCAGAGCTGGGATGTGAGATCATTGGACCCAGGTATCCCAGGACTAGAATTCCTGGGTGATTCAAATGGTTAATATGCTTGGGTTGCTAGCTGAAAGGTTGGTGGTTCAAGTTTACCCAGAAGTGCCTCAGAAGACAGGCTTCACATTTACTTCCAAAATATCACTCACTGAAAATCCTACGAAGCCAATAGAAAAAGATGGAAACAACCTAAGTGCCTGTCAATGGATGAATGGATAAGCAAAACTATGATCCTTATACACAATGGAATATTATACAGTGTTAAAGAAAAACGAATCTGCAAAACACCCATGACATGGTTGGATCTGGAGGACATTATGATGAGGGACATTTGTTAATTACCAAAACAACAACAACAAAAAACAAATACTATAGGAGACCACTACTGTGGTCACAGAAAGAAACATTCTTGGAAGGTTACCAGGGGTGGGTAAGCAAGGAAGGGTAAATGGCTAAATAGAGGGTAGAAAGTATGAACTTGGGTGAAGGGAAAGACAATATACAATAAGGGGGAGGTCAGCACAAAATGATCTAAGCAAAGGAAGACACTGAGAGGACCACAAGAGTTAAAGGCAACGAAGGTAAATGCTCTTAAATACCCAATTCTGCAATAACAGTAATGCTAACAATCATCTACCAGTGGAACATAGATAGGCACTGAGATTGAACAAGGAGGCAAAGACACATTGGTCTACACCCATGAATATATATATTTGACAGAGAATTTTTTATATATACTACAAATATATCCATGAATACAGTAAAGCGTATAGGCGCAAAGTTATGAAAACTACTTTAGGCATAACCAAACACCATAAGGGAATGCGTTACTGTGCCTGGGAACTCAGAACCACAGTCTCAGGGGACACCAAAGTCAATTGGCATAACACAGTCCACAGAAACATTTTACATCCCACTTTGGTGAGTAGCAACTGGGGTCTTACAAGTGTGTGACTAGCCATCTAAGGTGGAACTATTGGTCTCTCTCCATCTGGAGCAAAGAAGAGTGAAGAAAATCAAAGAAACAATTAGTTTAGAGGATTAATGGATCATGTGAACCCCAGCTCCATGATCCTGAGACAGAAGAACTAGATGGTGCCCGGCGATCATTGCTGATCACTCTAAAAGAGATCACAGTAGGAAGTCCTGGATAAAGTGGGAGAAAAATGTGAAACAAACCTGAGATCAAAAGGGCAGCATTTACCCAAGGACGAACTTCAGAAGGGTTAGGAAGGAAGGAGAAATGAAAATAAGAACTACAGAGAGGACATAGGATGAGTGATGTTTCATTGAGGGGATTACAATCAGTGAGATGAAACAAAATGTGTGAATTGTTGAATGTAAAGCTGACGATCTTCTCTATAAGCTTTCACTCAATTCAGAAAAACAAAAACATAAAAGCAACACATAAAAAAAACCAGTCTTTTTTAGAGATTGGTGGAACCTCCAAAACTAGGACTCTTAGTCACCTTTCAGGTCTGATACTGAACTCACCTGTGGCTCAACTTTCAGCCAAATGATAGACAGGTGTTTCAGATGAACAATAACACTCTGTAAAACAATCAACCATATGAGATCAAAGAGCAGCATGTGCCCAGGGAGAAAGCTCAGAAACAGAGTGGGAAAGGAAAGGAGGTTGAATAGAAATGGTAAACATAGAGGATGTGGAAAGAGAGCTAGTACACTTAGGGGATTTCAATCAATGTCACTAAACAAAACGTGTCTAAATTGTTGAACGGAAACCAATTTGCTCTATAACCAAATCACAATAACAAAACTAAACCAAACCCAAAACCCCCCATAAAAGAAAACCCTGTGGAGCATAGTTCTACTCTGACATACTTGCAGTTGCTATGAGTTGGAACTGAGTTGGAATTGACTTAATGGAAACTGATTTTTCTGTAGTCCTGGGGTTTGGGGAGCCAGCTTCGGGTCAGTGCTGGCTCCTGGAGGAGCCACCCCCTGCCTCCCACCTGAGGTCTCCCAAATTCCAGCAACAACTCTGGTTGCTTCTGCAGGCAAATGAACCTTTGTGGTCAGAGGGGCCTCTAGAGCCCAGGCTAGGCGGCTCCCTCCCTCTCCAGGCACACACACCTCTATTCAGCCAGGGCCCCGCCCCTGGAGGAGGGGGTTGGCTGCCCCCACGTCAGCGGGGGTGCCACCTGACTGGGGGGCTGGGCAGGCAGCAAGGTTGATAAGACCAGGCCCCCAATGAGCTCCCCCCTGCACTATGCCCGCTGTTGCCAGAGCTGCTAACACCATGAGAGCCATATCTGGCTGCAGCCTTGCGCTCTGCAGTCTGCTGCTGTTGCTCCAAGCCCCGGGCACCCTTCCCTTGGCTCCCCAGTCCAGAGGTGAGATGGGGATACCTGGGGGAGTGGCCCCTGACCAGTAGTCTGAGGGGCGGGGCACCCAGATGCGTGGAAAGGAAATGGGCTCTAGGATGGGGAGAGGGACACGGTAGCCAGCAGATTGTCACAGGAACAAACAGGATGAAGATGTTGACAAGGGTCGGTACTTCTGTTGGGGAACATGTCTGGATCTCTCTCTGGAACCCATGAGCTCCCCAGGGCCCATGCCTGCTGGGGGATAAGGGCTCCCTGGTCACTGGAGACAGATGCTACCCTAGAGCTTCTGATGCCTGGAGTGGTACCAGGTCAGCTCCTGCCAGCTCAACAGGCCAGCTCATGACTGTTTAATGGGTGTAGATGTGGGGGACCAAGACCTAACTGCCCCACCCCTTCATCAACCCATCAGCACATCCTAGACTGGGCTACCTGGGGGCTGCATCATCCCTAGGGTTTCAACCTTGCCCTAAATCCTAGAATGTCCAGTGCTTCCTATCCAGATGGGGAAACTGAGGCAATGGGCAAGGCTCTAAGATCACACAGTAAGATGGCCTGAGAGCTTACTGTTCTATGGCATGGCTCAGATCTGAAACCGAACTCACCGGTGGCTCAATTATTAGCCAAATGATAGACAGTCTCTGTCTCCGGGCTTCAGCTTGTGGGGACCAGGAACATGGCTGTGAGGTGATTTCTAATGTTGAGGAACTCTGATGCCTGGGTACCGTCTAGGGTGCTATGAATTAGGGATTTAGGACAATCCAGCACAGTTTCTCTCCCAATTCTCCAAGTACCTTCACTTGGGAATGGCTCGGCCTATTTCAGACTCTATACTGAGCCCTGCCTGCCTACCTGCCTGCCTGCCTGCCTGCAAGGAGCTCTGGTAGTGTAATGGTTACAAATCGGGCTGCTAACCTCAAGGCCAGCTGTTCTAAACTACCAGCTGTTCCGTGGGAGAAAGATGAGGTTTTCAGCTCCTGTAAAGATTTACAGACTCAGAAACCCTGTACAGGGTCGCTATGAGTCAGAACTGACTCCACGGCACATCACCACCACCACCACCTACCTCCCTGGCTGCAGGCCCAGGCCAGTGGCAGCACCCTGCAGCAAACATTAGTCTCCTCCCATTGGACAGGTGAGAAAACTGAGGTGCAGCAGGATTTGAACTCAGGCCTGCATCACTCCAGCTCCATGCACTTCCCAGCACATCTCCCAGGCTGTCTGGGGGCCCATTTCTCCCTGTGGCTATTATTTGGGGCCTATTGGGTCAGGCTGTCAAGACGCCCATGAGGAATCCCTGCTCGTTTCTTCCTCCTGCCCTTGGGAACCAACTACTTGGCTCTGCTGGGCTGAGGGAAGCTAGTTCCTCTTTGGTGATTTGCTCTGATGTCCAGACAAAACAGACCATGTTGGTGGGCATTGCTTTGTTCTCAAGACTGTGTCCATCTCTGAAGGGTCCACCTTTAGTGCCCTCCTGCCCAGCAGGAGACATAGCTGTCCCTCCACCCACCCCCATCCCCGTCTACGGAGGAGCCCTGGTGGTACAGTGAATTAAGTGTTGGGCTGTCAAACACAACAAGGTCAGTGGTTTGAACTCATCAGCCAGCTGTTCTGTGGCAGAAAGATGAGGCTATAAAGATTTAGAGTCTCAGAAATCCTATGGAGCAATTCTGCTCTGTCCTATAGGGTCGCTATGAGATGGAATAGGCTCATGGGCTTTGGGTTCTCATCTACAGCAGCTGGATGGCACAAGGGTGGACAGTCATCTACTAACCCAGAGGCACTGTGGGAGAAAGTTCTGGTGACTTTAAGGCCAAGGAAACCTAAGGAGAGGACATTTTATTCTGTAACAGTGGGTCAGGAACAGATTCAACGACAGCAGATATGGTTTGTCTGTGGCAGCAATCAGCAGAAAAGTTGTGAATGACTGTTGTCTCCTTTGCTGTCCCAGATTGGCATCCTATGTACATTTTTGCTCACCCTCCCAAGGATCCTGCAAAAAAGGGATTATCCGTGGCCTAGCACAGAGGAAGAACTGAGACTCCAAGAGACAGGTTCAGCAACTTGCCCAAGACCAGGATGTGAGCCTGGGTCTGTCCCACTAGACTGAGCTGTGTGTCCACCACTGAAAAGAGGCCTCAGGCAGCTCTGGTGGTTTCCCCTGTTGTCTCTGAGTCTGCTCTGTGTCTCCCCCTGCCTCCTCTCCAGGGCACCTCTGCCAGACCCGGCCAACGGACCTGGTGTTTGTTGTCGACAGCTCACGCAGTGTGCGGCCTGTGGAGTTTGAGAAGGTGAAGGTGTTCCTGTCCCAGGTCATTGAGTCTCTGGACGTGGGGCCCAATGCCACCCGGGTGGGCGTGGTTAACTACGCCAGCTCTGTGAAGCAGGAGTTCCCACTGCGGGCCCACAACTCCAAGGCGGCGCTGCTGCAGGCAGTGCGCAGCATCCAGCCACTGTCCACCGGCACCATGACGGGTCTGGCCATCCAGTTCACCGTCACCAAGGCCTTCAGCGATGCTGAGGGAGGCCGCGTCCGATCCCCAGGCATCCACAAGGTAGGTGTCCCGGCCTGCCTGGCTCCCACTGGGGGCTACGAGATTTGCCTGTGGTCAGGAAATGAAAGTCAAAGTGTGGAGGCCATTTGGCATGAGGGGCAAAGCTGGGTTTTGAGTTCCGATCTGCAGAGTCACCAGGAGATCTGCATAGCCCAATCTTCTGCCCCAGAAGCTCACCATCTGGTCCAGTCAGGGCCTGTTTCTGTATAACATGAAGAGATAGCAACACTGTCTCAGAGGAGAAGCTGAGTGAATGTGCTCAGAACAGTGCCTGGCACAGAATAAGCACCCATGTGGAGTCCTGGGGTGGCGCTGTGGGCTAAGGCGTCAGACTGCAAAGTCGTTTAAAGTGCAAGGTCACTGGTTCATGCTCACCAGCTGCTCCTTGGAAACCCTATACAGGGTCGCTATGGGTCGGAATCAGCTCGACGGCACGTAACAACAAGCGTGAGTTCCAGGAGCTCTGGTGGCAGTGCTCAGGGGCTAACTGAGAGGTCAAAGCCACTAGCTGCTCCATGGGAGAAAGATGTGGCGATTTGTGTCCATAGAGGTTACAGTCTTGGAGTAACTCTGGTAGCGTAGTGGTTACGAATCGGGCTGCGAACCTTAGGGTCAGCGGTTCGAAACTACCAGCCGCTCCGCGGGAGAAAGAAGAGGCTTTCTACTCCCGTAAAGATTTACACCCTCGGAAACCCTGTACAGGGTCGCTATGGGTCGGACCCGACTCGATGGCACTTAACAACAACAACATAGATAGGGTGGTTCTAAGGAGCTCTGGTAGTGTAGTGGTTACGAATCGGGCTGTGAACCGCAAGGTCGGCAGTTCAAAACTACCAGCTGTTTCACAGGAGAAAGATGAGGCATTCTGTTCCTATAAAGATTTACAGATTCAGAAACCCTGTACAGGGTCGCTATGAGTTGGAACCGACTCCATGGCACATCACAACGACAACACAGGGTGTCTTTGAATTGGGATCAACTTGATGGCAATGGGTTTAAGTACTACTTAGCAATCCCTGAATGACTCACATGGTTAAGCACTTGGTTACTAATGGAAAGTTTGTCAGTTCGAATCCTCTCAGAACAATGGCACTTCTAGTCTGAAACACATGGGGTCCCCAAGGGTTTCAGTTGACTTGACAGTAATTTTTTTTTTTTAGGTAGCACTAATTAATTTGTATTTAGCAATCCTTTAAGGGCAGGGGCTCATGAGAGCCAAGCAAACTTTCCCACGTTTTGTAGTCAGCAAGGGCTCCAGGTAGAGTACTGGATGTTTTCATAGACCTTGTGTGCATACCCACGTTCTACTATTTAAGCCCTCAGTCCAGGGCCTCGGGGTCACGTGCCTGCTCTTCACAGAACCCTGTGTGTCTCCATCAAAGCCCTTGTTGGCCTGAGGAGTCACTATGTACCTCTCCAGGGACCAGCCCAGGTGAGGTACTCATCCATGTTCTCCCCGCTCCTCACTCTCTAGCACAGTGCTTGCCACAACAGATGCCTGAAACACCAGGGCTGGATGAATACATTTCTCCTCAGAGCTGGTATCCCCACTTTGAGGATGAAACTTGGGGGCTTAAGCAACTTGTCGAGCAAATCAGTGGTAAAAGCAGTCACACAATGGCATTGCCACCCCTCTAAGGAATAACAGTGGGGTGCCTGTCAGTCTTATTTTGTGGGGCCTCTTATAAGTTCCGGACTCCTGGTGTGGCGCCATAGGACAAGCATTCGACCTCAAGGTCTATATGAAGCTCAAGATCGGCAGTTCAAACTCACCTGCCACTCATTGGAAACCTTATACAGGGTCACTATGAGTCAGAACCGACTCTATGGCATTTAACAACAACAACTTCTAAGTTCCGAGGTGAGGTGTTGTAGAAAAGGTTGATGGGTGTGTTGGTTGGGGGGATGTGGTGGCCATGGGGATCCTAATGCAGAGAGGTAGTGTAGATGATGGCAGGGATATTTCCAAGTTAACCAACTCCCCCCAGGTCAGGCCAGTGTCTGGGGTGGGCAAGTGGGAGAGGGTGCTGCTTCTGTATCCATCAGGAATCACCTGATGGGGGGAGCCACAGGAAGGACAAATCTCAAAGCTGGTGGTGGTTGGATCAGGAATGGTGGCCCCAATCTGGACATCTCTCCATCTCCATGCCCTAGAAGGGAGGTTGGGGACCCTTTCGTAGCATGTGGCATTGGACAGTTAGAGCTAACCTTCCAACACTAGGAGCCCAGGCCTCTGGAAGGGGATCGGTTGTGCAGGAGCCCTCCCCACGGGTCCTGGGTAATGACACTACACATCAGAACACTCCTACCATGAATAATTCCACTGGAACCTCACCCTAACCCCTTTTTACAGATGGGGAAGCTGAGGCTCACGAGGGTGGGACTGGGTTTCTAGTCTAGACTTAATCATGCTATTGTACCATGACAAAGGGGTCAGACACCTGGGCCAAGAGAGGGGACCCAGGAGTCAAAGAAGCAGCAAATAAGCTCGGTGCCAAACCCCAGGCTGGGGCCAGAGTCATGAGGAACCTGAATTCAGGGCAGGTTCAGGCTTGGGGGTGGGGTTGGGGGAGGCACTCTGCCAGGGTCTTCTCTTTGTCTACTGAATATAGACAGGAATCTTGTGGGAGGGGAAGCCAGATTCTTTTCCTCCACGGAGGGACATGCATGAGACTGAGGTGAAGGAGACAATGGGCAGCAATTCCTGTTCATTGTGTGTCTCTGTGGGAACAACGCTGAACCAAGAGACTGCTACTTCCAGCTCAGGGAGGCGAGGCGGAGGGATGTACAGATTAAGGACATCAGTCACCATTCCTGATCCTTGGCCACCCTCTGGCGGCCAAACCGCAAAACTGCCTGGTACTGGATGCGCAGAAGTCCTGGGGTGGCGCTGTTAATGCGCTGGACTGCAAAGTCGGATTGAAACGCAAGGTCGGTGGTTGAAGCTCACCAGTTGCTCCTCTGAAACCCTAGACAGAATTGCTGTGGGTCGAAACCAACTGGACGGCATTGAACAACAACGACTAGACGCGAATGTTGACTCAAATAGGGAGTAAATCAGCCTTGTAGTCCGGGCGAGTCTCCACCCACCACAGAGTAGGGATGCGCTGTGCAGAACACAATGGGGAGGGAGGCACACTGAGCCCAAGAGGGCATGGTCCAGCTTGCTTTCACTTGGGCATGTCTCCCAGAGTCCTCAGCGACCTCCAATCTGAGGGGGGAGACGCAGCTTTGTCCTCAAGGGCCTTGGTCTTAGAGGCCCCACTCTAAGGAAGGGACATGGCTCTGCCCTTGGAGGTAATCAGTCTGAGGGCACTGTGCCGGCCCTGCGCTTTCCTGCCCTTTGGCGATCACAGTTGTGCTCTCTGCCACTGCCTGCCCTAGGGAGGCGACACATCCCTGTTCCCAGAGGTCCCCGTCAGACAGGGCAACTGCTCAGTCATATTTCAGTCAGGGAAACCCATCTTTCCTCTTCGGCTAGCCAAGTTCCCTTCCCTGGGGAACTCCCAGGGATCAGATCTTCGTGCAACCCTAGTTGTGGGACTCTGGGCAAGTTATTCAGACTCTCCAGGCTTCAGTTTCCTCTTCTGTCAACATTCTCGCGGGCCCCAACGCAGCGAGGAAAGGGAGGGCCTGAGCCTCACACATAGCTCGCGTGTCGCAGGTGGTCATCGTGGTGACAGATGGGAGGCCCCAGGACAGTGTGCGGGACGTGTCTGCGCGCGCCCAGGCCAGTGGCATCGAGCTGTTCGCCATCGGAGTGGGCCGCGTGGACAAGGCCACGTTGCGACAGATCGCCAGCGAGCCGCAGGATGAGCACGTCGACTACGTGGAGAGCTACAACGTCATTGAGAAGCTGTCCAAAAAGTTCCAGGAGGCTTTTTGCGGTGCGCCCAGGCGGGTGTGGGGAGTGGAGGGGTCGGGTAGGGCTTGGCGGAGACTGTCGGGCTCGGGGGCGGGGGCAGATACTAGGCGGGGCTACGACTAAGGTGGAATTTAGGTAATCTGCATTGAGGGCGGGCTTTAGGTGAGACAGACAAAGATAGTCGTGTTGGGGGCGGGTCTAGTATTGGGGCGTGGCCTGTGCGTTGTTTGAATCCAGCCCGTGCTCTCAGAGTGTGGAGGCGTGGCCTGGGCGGGCGACTTGGAGAGCTGGCATCAAAGGTGGGGCCAGAGATGGGGGCAGGACCCGGTCCAGGTTAGGGTCCTCAGACAGCGGATAAGGGAGGTTGGGAAGAGATGATTCCAAGAGACTTTTTATGTGGCAGGGTCCAAGCAGGGACCAAGGAAATTCCAGAACCCGGTAATTGGAGATCCTAAAAAAACTATGCATGTTAATATTATTGGTGTGTGCGTTTGGGTGCCAAAATCTTCCGTGATACAGGAGGGTCTGTGGGACCTAGGCATTGGGCAGGGGAAGGTTCTGAGTCTTTCGCAGAAGGAAGGTGGACCTGTGGAGAATTCTCTGTGATCTGAACAATTAGAAGAGATGGAGTGAGGGCGGGGTCAGGATAAGGACTTTTGGGTCTAAGTAGAACATGTACCTTATTGAGGGTTCAAGGAGCTAATGCAGCACTCAACAGATGATATTTAGCAAATGCTTATTGAGTGCCTACTATGTGCTGTGTTCATTGCTGGGAGCACTGTAAAGCCTTTATCTTTCTTAGCGGGAAGTTTTATTTTTATCATTACTGTTATCACCTTCTTCAGGGATCTTAAGGTGGCCAGGCCTGGGTCCACCCAGATGGGGCCCTCATTTTCCCTGCTTGTACAAGGGGCCCTGGTCTCTATGCTCAAGGAGGGAAGTATCCTGGCTGGGATGTCTGGGCCCCCGTGATTCTGAGGTTCCTTTGTCTTCGCAGTGGTGTCAGACCTGTGTGCCACGGGGGACCATGATTGTGAGCAGGTGTGCATCAGCTCCCCAGGCTCCTACACCTGCGCCTGTCATGAGGGCTTCACCCTGAACAGTGATGGCAAGACCTGCAGTGGTCAGTGAGTTGGGCACAGGGTGGGACATGGGTAGGGGTGGGGTCTTACCCACTCCCACGAGGTCCACTGTCCTGTGCCTCTGACCAATCTCCAAAAGCAATAGATGCTTTCTAGAGACTGTTGCCAGCAGACATTCTTCTCTCTTGACTTTGTTCCTCTGTTTATCACAATGGGTGGTAGGTTTAGTGTGGTGGGAAGAGTCACAGTCTTGAGTTCAAGTCTTGGCTCCACTACTTCCAGCTGTGCGATTTTACAGCTTTCAGAGCCCTTCAGTTTCCGATGCTGTAAAATGGGAATAGTGACTCTGGCTTTAAGTGAGTGTAAATTGGTGGAAGTAGTAATAGCATCAGAACCTGTCAGCTTCAGAGTGGATAATGTTTTTACCAGTTCTGACCACAGCCATCCCTCCCATGACAGTCGTCTCTATTTCTCTTCTGGGTTCAATAATTCATTGCAATGACAACACAGAACTCTCAGAATATATTTACAATTACTAAGGAAACACCAGGATCCAACTCACAGGATTAGGATCACCAGGCTACAACATAGGATCAGGATCAGGAAGCATGTGGGCAAAGTCTCCCTTCTGCAGTGCAGGACAGCTCTTTGAGCTCCTCTTGACTGCGCATGCCTCCTCTAGGCCCTCTCAGGTCAGGCTTCTTGGTCCTGCTGGGGCCCTTTTAGGTCTCTTGCTGTTTATAGTGTTATAGTCCTTGACCCATGTTGCAACACTTTTAGGAAGTCTCTCACCTCCTCTCTCTCTCAGTTCCTTCTTTCTTCCTACTTCTTTCTGTCTCCAAAAACCCTCTGTGGGATTGGATGCTTATTAGACACAATTCCTTGCCAATTTTAAGGCATAGCCTCTTCCAGCTGGGGACCATAAAAAACTGATCAGTCCCCTCTCAGTAAGTCTTGACACTATAACTCACCTCATTTGCATAATTTATTGATCAGTTCCTACAATGTGAATACCAATTACCCAGCCCAGAACCAGATAAAAGGTATAAAACCAAGTTGCTTACGGTTGACCCAGGAAATGTAATAAAACTAGGCTAGAAAATTAGGGCAAAGGTAACTTTTCAGGGTCTAGGGGGAAAAACTCTGAATCTGTTTATTTCTCCCTCCTCCAATTAATAAAGGCAAAAGGCCACGGTAAGGAACTCATTTCATAAACAGAGGGAGTTTTGAGGACTAAGTGGACTGGTCTCTGTGACTCATCCAGCTCAGAACCTGGAGTGGGGTGTTGTCCAGCAAGTGGTCTGCATGAATGACCAGTCCCCTAAGCTTCCTCCCCTTGCCTTCCTGCCCTCCCCAGTCTGTGGTGCTGCTGGTGGCAACTCAGCCACTGACCTGGTCTTCCTCATCGATGGATCCAAGAGTGTGAGACCAGAGAACTTTGAGCTGGTGAAGAAGTTTATCAACCAGATTGTAGACACACTGGACGTGTCAGATAAGTTGGCCCAGGTGGGGCTGGTGCAGTACTCAAGCTCTGTACGCCAGGAGTTCCCCCTGGGCCGCTTCCACACCAAGAAGGACATCAAGGCGGCTGTGCGGAACATGTCCTACATGGAGAAGGGCACCATGACTGGGGCAGCCCTCAAGTACCTCATTGACAATTCCTTCACTGTATCCAGTGGGGCTAGGCCTGGTGCCCAGAAGGTGGGCATTGTCTTTACTGATGGCAGGAGCCAGGACTATATTAATGATGCTGCCAAGAAGGCCAAGGACCTTGGTAAGTACTGCCTGCTTGACCCAGGGTTCCACTGATGGCCAGTTGTGTACACTGTGCCGTTACATTGTAGCTTATCTTGGTGTTTGTTCTGACTAGTGCTCTAAGTCCAGGGAAATTTGAATGGGGGGGGATTGGTTACTCTAACTCTCTCTTATATTGATGACAAATATAATAAAAATGGTTAGTTTTGCTGATCCTTACATAGGTTGGACTTGGAACTTTTCTGGTTGAATGTTAGAAGGCTATCTGTCCATCTTTGGGGTAAGCCGGAGCCTTACCAGTTAAACGAGAAAAATAATAACCACTGAACAGATAGTTATGAGAGTGAAGTGACACTACAAAAAGCCTAGTGTAGGGTTTGGCATATAGTAGAACCACATCAAATGTTGATTTGCTCAGTTTCTTTCTCCTAAGCAATGTCCCTACAATTCTTACGGCTACCACCAGGAGGTGTCTGGTATTGGCTGTCTGAACTGACTGCAAGGCAGTCCATTCCACAGGAGAACTCAAGTTATGACTGTCTGACTCCATAGTTAGCCTTACCGATCTTCTTCCTCCTGGTAGGTTTTAAGATGTTTGCTGTGGGTGTGGGCAATGCAGTGGAGGATGAGTTGAGGGAAATTGCCTCGGAGCCTGTGGCAGAGCACTACTTCTACACAGCTGACTTCAAGACCATCAATCAGATTGGCAAGATATTGCAAACAAAGATCTGCGTGGGTGAGTGAGGCCAGGGCTGGCATCAATGGGAGGAGCAGGCGGGTTCTGTGGAGGATGGGGTCATGTTGGGACTAGGTGTGAGCAGGGAAAAGCTGGGGCTGAGGTTGCATGGAGAGTTAGCAGAACCAGGAGAGGGCCTGACCAGTACCATGGTTACTAATACTCCAGTACTTTCCAAATGTTAAAAGCGTGTTGCTGTTGTTAAGCGCCGTCAAGTCAGTACCGACTCAGAGTGACCTTATGTACAACTGAATGAAACACTGCCCAGTTCTATGCTGTCCTCACAATTGTTGTTACGCTTAAGCCCATTTCTGCTGCCACTGTGCGATCCATCTCATTGGGGGTCTTCTTTTTCGCTGACCCTCCAAGCATGATGTCCTTCTCCAGGGACTGGTCCCTCCTGATAACATATCTGAAGTATGAGAGATGAAGTCTGGCCATCCTGGCTTTTAAGTAACATTTTGTCTGTACTTCTTCCAACACAGATTTGTTTGTTCTTTTGGTGGTCCATGGTA